TTTAAATTGCTTTACAATTTTTTTCAAATTTGTATGGTAGGAGAAAATTTGGCAAAAATTGGGGAGGGGGGGGGAGGAGGGGAAATTAATGCAAAATATTATTTTTTTAAACCGGGTCTCTAAAAAATATGGTTCTAAAAGATCACTTAATTTGTTTTTAAAGATCGTTTAGTTGGTTGTTATTGATCGGTTAGTTTGTTCTTAAAGATCGGTGAGTTTGTTCATAAAGATCACTTAGATTGTTCTAAAATATCGCTTAGTTTCGTCTTAAAGATCGCTTAATTTGTTCTTAAAGATCACTTAGTTTGTTGTTAAAGATCGCTTAGTTTGTTGTTAAAGACCGTTTAGTTTGTTCTTAAAGATCGCTTAGTTTGGTGTTAAAGACCGTTTAGTTTGTTCTTAAAGATCGCTTAGTTTGTTGTTAAAGATCGCTTAGTTTGTTGTTAAAGATCTTTCAGTTTGTTGTTAAAGATCGTTAAGTTTGTTGTTAAAGACCGTTCAGTTTGTTCTTAAAGACCGCTTAGTTTGTTGTTAAAGATCGCTTAGTTTGTTGTTAAAGATCGCTTAGTTTGTTGTTAAAGATCGTTTAGTTTGTTGTTAAAGATCGCTTAGTTTGTTGTTAAAGATCGTCCAGTTTTTGTTAATGATCTCTTTATTTTTTCTTAAAGATTGGTTAGTTTGTTCATAAAGATCGCCTGGTTTGTTGTTAAAGATCGCTTTAGTTTGTTGTTAAAGATCGTCTAGTTTTTGTTAATGATAGCTTTATAGGTTATTAAAGATCGCATTAGTTTTATTGTTAAAGATCGTCTAGTTTTTGTTAATGATAGCTTTATTTGTTCTTAAAGATCGTTTAGTTTGTTCATAAAGATCGCTTAGTTTGTTGTAAATTCGCTTAGTTTTTTCATAAAGATCGCTTAGTTTGTTCTTAAAGATAATTGATTTTGTTCCTTAAGATCAATAAGTTTGTTCTTAAAGATCTTTCAGTTTGTTCCTAACGAACATTTAGTCTTCTGTTAAAGATCGCTTAGTTTATTCTTATAAATCATTAAAGATCATTTGTTTTGTTCTTAAAGATCATTTAGTTCGGTCTTAAAAATCGTTTAGTTTGTTATTAAAGATCGCTTAGATTGTTCTTAAAGATCGCTTAGTTTTTTTTAAAGATCGTTTAGTTTGTTTTTAAATGTCGCTTAGTTTGTTGTTAAATATCATTTAGTTTGTTCTCAAAGATCACTTAATTTGTTCTTAAATGTCGCTTAGTTTGTTGTTAAATATCGCTTTTGCTTAGTATTAAATGACCGAAAACCTGAGTCACTTTCGGCCGGATGGCCGAAAGTCTAAGTCGATTTCGGCCGAAACCGAAGAAAAAGCGAAAGTTAACTTTTCTCTTTCGGCCGAAACCGAAATTAAGCCGAAAGTTAACTTTCCAGTTTCGGCCGAAACCGAAAATTGGCCGAAAGTGAGAAAATGGCCACTTTCGGCGCCGAAACCGAAGCCGAAGCCGAAATTCGGTCGGCCTCTACTCGGTGGCCGCCTAATCAAAACAGCCACGAATTAAATTTAAGCCCAAGATGATGGGAATGTTTACTTTGTCCTCACACTACACATTTTTTTGCGATCAAATATTTTACACGTTATTTTACAAGCGTATGACGATTTTTGAAGACGCAATTGCTTCTCTATGTGTTGACCTCAAAGACGTCACATACCATCGATACCAAAGACGTCACACACCAATGACCTCAAAGGTAGGGTATTTAACTCGAAGAGTTCATGAAAAAGACTTCATGCAAGAGAGTTCATGCAAGAGAGTTCATGCAAGAGAGTTTCTGAGTGATACATCATGTTTTGAGATAGTCTGTTTTTAAGAGGAGATATCACAAGCAGGTGGATCTGTGTGCCAGATACGAAGAATAAAGAGCAACCTTGTTATTATGACAAGGTTAAAAAGCGTTTTGACAATAGCCGTTGATTGGCGTAGCTGAATGTCGACTACGACTTTATATTAGAGGGAGGCCGACCAGGGTATTTTATGACAAAAAAAATCATTTAAGTGTTGTAAGAGTGAAACTTGTTATTAAATAGGGAAGATTGGAATGAATATTTAAAGGTTTCTACCGCGAGTTCGCTGCCTGGCCCAATGAAGCTGACATTTGGTACACAAATCTATCTAAAATAATTCTTTGGTCTTTCGAAATCGTATGATTCCGCTTATTTCATCCTCTGTAGCGAAATGTCAGTCCGGAAGTGAAAGCAAAGATCACGGGTTATCAACTTCCGGCTCTCGAAAAAGCGACGAGTACCAGTGCAATCGTGTGTAGAATGTTACTTCCAGTTGTGCATTCTAAGTAATGTAGCAAGTTGGTACTTTAAAGAACGCGTTGTTCTAGTTTTCTACTTATTTACGTCAACTGTTGCATTTGCGACAGTGTGAAACTGACGAGGGCTTTCAACCCTTGAAGGCGTATTTTAAAGAGTGTTGGGCGGCGATAATGCTTTCAAGTATTTTAATGAGACACACACAAATTTGTGCAAGTAAAACAATATAGGTTCAGCCAGGGACGTGCTGGCACATGGAAACCTGTGATGAACGGTGCAGTAAGAAAGGCCCGGAGGCCGCCCCCCCCCCCCCCCCCCCCCCCGCACACCGGAGATTGTAATAACTGCCCAAAAAGGCCCGTGACGAATGCTGGTCGCGTCGTCGTGGGCCAGCACGTCCCTGGGTTCAGCTTTAATAAAGATCATACGTAATACAAATTATGTGTACATATTCAACTTCATACATTTTTAACAAATTAAATAATTCCATTTTTGTGTGCGTGTGGTTATTAAATGTCAATTTAACCATCACGTTTTCAATTTCAAACACTATATTGGCCTGCCGTAAAATTAATTATAAGCTCATTGCCACAAATCCAACAAATCATCTATTTATTTTTTTTTTTTATAGCTTTCATCAAAACTGAAAAAAAAAGAAAGAAAAAAAATAATTTTTGGATAAGTTTGTGGGAAGAATGATTCATCCCCACTGAAAGCATCTTCGAACTTTTTGATTATGATGCAGTAAGCGGAATGTCTCGTAAACAATGCAGTGAGCGCAGACTGTCGAGTTCTATGTTTGCACCAGTAATTATGATAATCGAATCACGTAAGCCGGTTCTTTGTTCTGAACAATTGATATGATGGAAAACTTGATCTATATTTTTTGCATTGCCAGTACAGTATGTTTTAGATGATTGTTATATTAATTTTAAAAAGTATACTCATAGGGACACCTTGCCAGCATGAAAATCTCACATGATCAACATTGCATTATAACAGCAAATTCACATTTATTGGTTAAGTAATTGTCAAGATTGCTAGTTTTTATTGATTCAAAAATGAAGGGGAGTTCTTAATCAATATCGCACGCCCGATTCCTTGAGTTCCAGCCATCATTTATCCACAATCACAATTAATGAGTAGAGCCAGTTACACAATCCCGAGCTAGATATTTTTAACCATACAATTATTGTTGAGCTAAAAATGTTGTAAAATGTATAATCGGAATCGGATTCTGTCAACATTCGTTTAAAAAATGAACTTTTATTACACTATTGATGTATAACTCTTTAAAATAAAATAGGAAGTGCTTTACAAAATACAGCCTCCACATTAGTACAGCCTACACATGACCAATGGTAGTCGTAATTTTATCAACGTTTCATTGTAACAGTGTCTTACTGGAGGAACGAAGGATTTCAGTATTGTTATCTATTCGGAAATAATTCATACATTTTACACAAAACAATCATTATGTTTATTCACATTCATTGTTTATTTATAATATTACTACCATTGAGTTTTCAAAGACATTTTACATTTGCATCGTATAGCGAACTTTCGATTCACCATGACTCTTATGTACTCAATGATAACATTAGTCAGGGAACACCCCCATGGGGGTCAGTCTCAAGGGGTTCAGCATCACCAGGGTCAGCATTCCAAAGGACAGCATTGCAAGTGTCAGCATCGCAGGGGTCACTCTTGGATGGGTCAGCATCGCCGGGGTCACTCTTGGATGGGTCAGCATCGCCGGGGTCACTCTTGGATGGGTCAGCATCGCCGGGGTCACTCTTGGATGGGTCAGCATCGCAGGGGTCACTCTTGGATGCCAGTCGTAGCGTCCCCAGTGAGAACCTACCCAGTCGTAGCGTCCCCACACTCTTGGATGGGTCAGCATCGCAGGGGTCACTCTTGGATGGGTCAGCATCGCAGGGGTCACTCTTGGATGGGTCAGCGTCAATTAAAAACTTAGACAAATGGATCAATTTAACTTCACATCTTAATTTATCTCTAGAAGGGGACATCATAGAAACCGTTGATATCCATGACTCGACTCATTTCGATCCCATCAACTCAACCCCAAGCAATGGCCTCCCACGGGCACAGAGCACCTCCGCCATCATCACCTGGTACGCGACGTTAGTCGTCAACCCAATCATCGGAGCTGTGGGCATTCTGGGTAACGCGCTCAACTGCGTCGTCTTGAGAAAATGTGGATTCAACAAACCATCCAACGTGTTTCTGTTCGGCCTGGCGATTGCGGACGTCTGCGTGCTGGTCCCGGCCGTCGACGCGGTGAACATGTTGACCCAGTTCCCGCGAAAACTTCCGTTCGGGCTCAGAGGCTGGGAGTACGAGTGCGAAGATGAGCGCCTGGCTGAGTTCTACCTGATCGTCCAGATGATCGTGTTTGGCGTGAGCACGTTCGGCATGAACGTGAGCCAGTGCATGTGCGTCGTCGTGACAGCCGAGCGGCTCGTGGCCGTGTTCTTGCCTTTTAAGTTTCGAGCCGTCGTTCGTCCCAGGCGAGCTTCGATCGTGGTTTGCTCCTTGTATTTATTTTGGCTCGGTGCGACTCTTGTGTACATCAGGAAGTTCAATTTTAACTTCAGATACCTGAGCGCGTATCAAACGTGTGTGTGCGATTATGATTTAAAACTCAACGGGGATGAGGTTATGTTCGACACAGTCTGCACTTGGATAGCGTGCTACGTGTCGCTCGCAATAATCATCATAGGGTCTTTAACGATATTCACGAAGGTTAAAAGTGCCAGCCGAAGACGAGGGAAAATGACGTCATCGAAAACCGCGTCCTGCAGCCGCACGACGAGAACTCTGCTCGCGGTTTGCGGTTTCTTCGGCTGCATGCAAATAATGCGACTTCCGTACACCACGAGCTCCTCTTTCCCAGACCGGGAGACGTTCATGATCTACTTTGTCTTCGTGAGGCTGGCCTCGAACTTGAACAGCGCCAGTAATTTTATCATCTACGTCATTCTCAACAAAAAATTCAGAAAGATACTCAAAACGATGACGTGTTGTGAAAGCTAAACAGCAAGACAGTCATTTTAATTAAAAGCACAGTGGAGTGTTGTGTTGGTATCGTATTACGTCTGATATGTTTTTGATCATGTCTACGTTATTTAGTCATGAAAAAAAGAGGTTGTCGGGGACAAAGAAACGGGCATACACAAACATAGAGTTAGGGAAATATTTTCCAAAAAAAAATGTTCTCCTAATCATGAATATGACACTCTTGAATAACATAACGCCAGGATGGAGTCTAATATCGTGTACAGCTTATGTATGTTTATTTATCCAAGTTGACAGCTTCACAGCGCTATTAAAATACTTTTAATTCTCTAATAGTTGAGAGGCTTCAATACTATGAAACAAAAAAAAAATTCCCCCTTTATGCAAGGTGAAAGAACTTTTTTTGAAAATATTTCTAATATGCAACCCATGAAAACAAAGTTTTTCGTGCGAATCCTTGACTTGTTTCCTGGCGACTTAGTGATGGCCATGGTTCTTAAGAAATGCTTGCAATCATACTTCCTCCATCTTCTCCATGGAAGACAGGAAAAATAATAATGTTTACGGTGCGTTCGAACATTTAATTAGACTATGTCGTCATTGTCAATGAGTCCATTTGCCAAGTTCCGGCTCGATAGGATGGCGGGAAGTCGGTCAAATAGCCCTCACATGAAACACATTAAAGATAATAATATTAAAATTATGCTAAGCAGCAATGAAGGAGGACACTTTGGTCCCGATGATAAAGTGACAGAGGGTTATAAACATGTACACATGGTTTTATAGCAGGCCTGCAATACTCAAAATGTAATGTGGGCCAAAATGCTTTATGAAAAACTTGTGCGGGCCGAAAGAAAATAGGACCGGCCGGGGGGGGGTGGAAGCTATTAAGAAAATAATAATAAGCAAGAATATTTCGTTACTTACGAACTAAATTTAATGTGACACATTGCATCGTTTTTCGGTAAGAAGTTTGTCTTATTCAGGAGATATTTTGTCAGTGACTGTTCTCAAGATGTCTTCCAAATGACCATAACTCAAACATGACAGTGGCTTACATTTATTACTTTTCATTATTGAAAAGTCCTGCAGACTGCTTTCACTGTGCTTGATTCGGTAAATTGTCGAACATTGTAGTTCGATAACCCAGAGCTGCAAGTGAACTGGTATGTCCTCGGGATTCACAGAAAGGGGATCTTCAATTAGTTTAAACTGAATTTCTTCTTCTCTAGAAAGGGTGAGTCTTTTATCAAATTCTTCTATCAAAAGATTAGTTTCATTAGCAAATTGTTTTCCAAACTCAACGTGCTTGTCCTGAGGAATATGCTGTGCACAAGTGGAGAAGTGACTCATTTCGCCATTTGGTAACTGGATTTTGAAAAGTTTTAATTTCAGTTTAAAAGCTTTTACTGCTGCAAACATTTCAAATACAAGTTGTTGCTATCTTGAAGCTGAACGTTAAATCCATTTAGTTGTATTGTAATATCACAAAAGAAGAAGAGGTCATGATTACGGGACTCATCTTCAACTTTAGGGAATTCCTTTGCTTCGTCTTCTGGGAATTTAGACATTTCCTTCTACAAAGCAACGAATCACGGAAGCATTTTCCCTCTGCTTAACCATCTCACTTCTGCATAATATATTACCTCTGTAGTCGGCGTCCATATCTTCAAGAGAAGCTTTAAAATCCCTATGTTTGAGTCCTCTTGATCTTTTAGGGTTGACTATCTGACAAAAACCACCATAACATGTTCTAAATGTAACCCTTGGCACAAGGCCTGCACATGTATAACGCAAAGATATTTTGTTATTTGCCTTCCGATAATATTTTCAAGAAGCGCAACTGCTTCCTTATTAATACCCGTCATATTCCGGGCACCATCGGAACAAATTGCCCCTAATTTTATAAAATCTAATCCCAACTTATCTTTCTAGCACTATATCTCTTCATTGAAGATATGTTTTCTTGTTGTGCGACCTGACATAGATTTCTAATGAAAATTAGAAGTCTTTAAAATCTGTGCTTTCGTCCATAGCTAGAGAATAAATATAAAATTCACAAGCCTTCTGCATTAATTATTCTTAAAGATTGGTGGAAATTGCAGTTATTCTTCTTCATACTTTCATTCGCGATAAACTAATGTTTTGAAATAACACTGATTTTTCCAGACCTAATTCAGACGTGACAATCAGCATACACTTCTTGACAAATTCGCCTTCAGTAAAGGATTTCCCAGCAGTAGCAATCTCCCTTGAAACACAAAAGCTTATTTTGGTAGCAGTCTCATTTTTATTGCTCTCTTTCTTGAAAAATCTCTGCTCTCCAGTAGGATTTTTCGATGGACTCGCTGCTTTAATGGATTTTTCATTTGGTCCCATTTCGACAAATTAGTATGTTTAAATTCAGAATGCCATCGAAGATTATACTCTTTCGGCGCAGCAATTGTATCACGACATACGAGGCACAGGAACTGTGTCAAGACATTCGAGGCACATTACTTTGTCCTTGAACAAGGTTAACAATTATTTATTAGTCCATCAAGGATTAAAACTTATGTGCTCAATCTCTAGTTTTCTCTTTCTGCTTTGATTCACGGCGCTTAAATTACACGTCTATAAGTACCGAACTAAAAGCACAGAATCTAAAAAAAAAGCGATACTTGAGCACAACACAACACAACACAATTCTACGCAATTTTATAAAAAAGTGAAGGGCCACTCTAGAGAGAAGACACTAGTTTTGAACACACTTACTGTACCGAGTTGGTTATGTTGATGGAGATTACATAAGCGTCGGAAATCGTAGTCAATTTCCTTCGAGAAAGAGTAATTGCTCGGGTAAAGCGTGCGTGTAGGATTACATATCGTCATGAGGAAAGAAAACATAGTTCTATCGTGAGTATTTACGCAACGATACAAATTAATAGATCTAGTTTAATTTGAATTAATAAATACAACTTTTTTTCAAGTATTTCGCGGGCCACAAAGTGGCTACTGGCTTCATGAGACTGAGCCCCCTTCTTGACAGCTGACCTCCATCTGGCTCTGTCCTGGGCTGCCTGCACCCATTCAATTGGGTTGATGCTGAAGGAGCTTTAATGCCACTTTCAGTGCGTCTTTGTATGGCTTTCTCTGACCTCCTTGGGAGCGCTTGCCTCGCGTGAGTTAACCGAAGAAAAACTGTTTAGGTAGCTGGCCCTCTTCCATACGGGCTACGTGTTCCGTTCAGCGGAGTTGAGACTGCATCAGGGTGGTGACGATGATATGTAGGTTTGCTGTAGCGAGGACCCTCCTTGTCAGGCACTTTGCCACATGATGCCAAGGAGTTGTTGTTGTTTTTTCTTCACTTTTGGCATTTGTGAAGACCTTAATGAAGTCCTAAGGGATACCTTGATGGTCAACGTGCATCTAAGGGATAACGTGATGGACCATCCGACTATTGGTAAAAATGTCGGACTGTTGGTCGTACCATCAATAAAACTTGTATCAATAGCTTACAATAACTTATACTAAGTCATTCCTAGAATGTCATCATCTTATCATCTTCTTTGATCAATCCTTTACATGTGTTCAAATTTAATTTTATTTAATTGATTTAATGAAGATAGGAATACAAATCTTATTTTTTAATTTATTAATGTCAATTATTTTCTCCCCCCGTGATAAATGAAATTCCTGGAAATGAGAACCAGTAATATTGACGCACTGGTTTGAGAGGATGTTGGGCACGAAGGAATCATGCCGTCTAGAGAATAGAATTATTAGTTTAGTTTCAAAAGAAAGTCACGATTTGTAGTTATCATATCTCTTTATGTTGGAAAATGATTACCTTGAATGTTTGAATAAAATTATTTGATATATGAAGTTTGTAATAACATATTTTATAAAAATGTATGTATCTCTTTAAATAAAAGTTTTACAACATTTCAGCAACAGGGATTTTTAAATTATTTATTTTTGACCTTAGAAAACAAGTTTCCCATTTGTTGGCTACTAATTGTCTACAAATATTCAGTTTTTTATAGTTCAAACAATACAATACGAAAGATTACGTATTCGGTTATGGTGAGTTCGAAAGAGTGCCAAAAAAAAAACAACATAAAAATTCCTGATAACTTCGGTTAATAAGACGCTAACATTTTTTCAAGTGCGATTGGTGCGCAATGTATTCTTTTATTTTACGGAAAATGTCCCAATTAAATAATGTGTAATAAATGTGCGGTGAATTAACAAAATAGGTGCGACAATACTATATTAATTTATTTCAGGGGGGGGGCGTGAAAAGTGTGCAGGGGCGTACATCGAAGGGCGGTAGAACTAATTTTGGATTTTTTACTTGCAGGAAAGTTTTGCAAAGTAAACTTGACAGATAGAACGTTCATGCATTGAGGCTGCTAATGATCTACAGGTTATGTGTAACGAGCGGTTAAATTTTTCTTTAAAAATATTTTTTTTTAAATGTGCTCAAAGCGAACTTATTATAAGCAATGTTTGGGGGTATGAAAACTATCTTTTAAGGTGGTCAGCTAGAGTGTGGAGTTAAAGCTTTGAAGGTGTGCGGCCAGAGTTGGACGTTATACCTTTGAATGGACACAGCTAGAGTGGGCCAGGAAACATTTGTAGGTGCTCAGCTAGAATTGTACGTTATAACTTTGAGGGTACAAAGCTAGAATTGTACGTTATATCCTTTTTAGGTGCTCAGCTAGAGTGGCAAGTTAAACGCTTATGAGGGTTCTGGTTGAGTATGCGCAAAAAAGAGAGGAAAAAAAAGCTAGATTACACAAGGTGAACTAGATTTTGTTTTAAATATATACAGTGTAAATTGTATTGAGCCCGCCAATATACTTGTCTTTGAGTTTTTACACACATGTTGCACTTGAAACTATGGACAGAATGATAACTCTGAGCAATCGTCGTGTGCTGAATGTTTCGTGCGGGGACTGAGCAATTTACACAGAGCCAGACTCCTGTAGGAAGTCCTTGAAGCAGCGCCGTGTACCTATCCATAGCAGTATCGC